TGCAGCGGAAATGCAGATGCCCGTGGTTTATGGAAAAGGGGTGCTCCTTCTGCAAGTACCCCCAGCAATTCCTTGTCAGCCCCCTTCCATGGCAGTCGCTGCCCCTGGGGGGGTAGAGTGGGGAAGGGGTGGGCAAGTCCCACCACATCAGCCTTGGAACTGACGCTTGTCTTGGTTGTCCAAATCCTTCCAGGGCCTGTGTAGGGGGATCAGGGGTGGGGGATGAGATTCCTGGCTCAGTGGAAGGATGTGACAGCTGTCCCAGGCCACTACCGGTGGGGGGATGTCAGCTGTGCCCCCTGAAACCGGAGCCCCAGCATCCCACTGCTGATCTAGGGAACGAGATGCTCCTCTTGGCCCTCAGCCGGGCGCTGTGGATGAGCAATGTTGAGGGTGGGGACATGACACGCTCATGGGTCTGGCTGGGGGAGTCATGGGGCACTGATGGCATCCCTGCTGTCTGCAGAGGATGGTGCTGTGCTGGAAGGGTCCATCTTCTTCCCCAGCCCATCCTGTCCTGAGTGCTCAGCCCAAGTGGGATAGCAGGGCTGATACCACCACATCCCCTCTGGGACACACACCTTCCAGCCACAGCTGAGGACCACCGTGCTCAGGACACCCACTCCCAAGTTGGGCATCACCCTCTCCAGCACAGACTCAGCATTCCAGTTGGGCACTGTGCCCTGAAGGGACACCGAGAGCAGCCACCCATGGTGAGAAGCACCCAGCTTTATTTTCCCAAGTCAAGGCAGGTGAGTGGGGGACTAACACATGGGACCCCAACACCACCCTAGACAAAGCGCTTGTTCTCCTCCCGGTAGTCATAGGGGTCTCCCGTGAAGGGCAGCACCGGTGGGTGGTTGTAGATGCCCATGAGGAAGATCCAGAGGGTGCCTACCACCAGCATGGGAGTGATGAGGAAGAGGCAGAGGCGGTCCAGGGTCCGGGCCACGTGGTTCCAGTTGTCCTTTTCCTGGGGAAGGAGCCAGGAGCTGGGCAGTGGGGAGCACAGTGGGCACAGGGAGCACCCTCTGTACCCAGATCCTCACCTCATTGTAGCTGTTTTTCTCCCGTATGTGCTTGACGATGAAGTTGGCACCATCAACAACGGGTTTTATGTGCTCATAGAGCTGCTCCTTGCCTGTATCCATCGGTGCCAAACCTGGGGGGCAAGGTGAATGGTGAGATGGGCTCCAAAGGGCTGCCACTCTCCTGTAAGACCCCTGTGCTTTGCCACCCTTCTCTGTGTCCCTGTGGAGGGGCCAAGGCTCACGGGCAGGGGTGACACGGCTGGCCAGCCCGTGCCGCTCCGACTGCTTCTCGAACATGAGCTCGCTGCGGGACTTGACGCTGAAGTACTCCTCTGCCTTGGCAATGTAGCCAGCTGAGCTGCAGCGCCGGATGCAAGGGGCGCCTGCCGGGCTCTCAGACGGCTGTGACATGCCCAGCAGGTGAGGAAGGGTCTCCAGGAAGACCTGAGGCAAGGAAGGGGGTGTCAGGACCTTCAGCCACCTCCCTGGTGCAATGTCATCTTGTCTCCACCTTCTGCCCCCCAGCCTGGGGGTGCATCCCTGTGGAGCTGCACAGATGGGACACCCTGATGCAAAGCCAGGGCTGTGCTGTCCCATGTTCTCCGTGGGCCATGGTGCCAGCCCTGCACTCACCAGTTCACCCACTCCATCCCAGCACCCTGCTCACCTCTTTGACCCAGTCAGACATGATGTGGGTGCTGGGGGTGCGAAAATGGAAATTGAGGACCACGACGCAGATCACAACCACGGCTGTCACCAGCAGCATGATGAAAAGCAGGTACCTGGCGGGGCACGGTAATGGGGCTGACATTGCTACAGCGGGTGGGCACAGGCAGAGCTGCCCTCTGACACCATGGAGACCCCATGGGACCCTGCGATGTCCCTGCTGCACCCAGCAGTTCCCAGGACTCACTTGCCAATGAGGGGAATAGCGTGGGAGGTGGCGGGCAGGCGCTGGGAGATGAGCAGGAGAAAGACCGACTGGGCAAGGAGCACTGAGATCACCAGGGTCATCTTCTCACCACCTGGAAAGCAGATGAACTCAGGGCAAAGCCTGCTCGAGGTTCCCTTCTCAATGCCCCCAGTGCTGGGATTGCCCTTCCAGTGTCCCGCCATATGATGCCCCAGGCAGAGTTTTCTATTATGGGAGTACCCCAGGGTCCTACATGGGGTATCTTGTGCCTAAGCGTGCCCCTGCCAGGGTGCCTGGCTGGGATGATGGTGTCCTATGTGGAAGTGACCCGGTACCACCAGGATGTCCCCATGCTGGGCACTAGGATGTACCCACGTCCCAGGACCTGGTGCTGGAGTGGGACACAGAGGTGCCCCATGGGGAGAACTCCGTGCCTGGCACGGGTGCCAGGGGGCTCACTCACTGTCGGCGGGCAGGTAGAAGACAAGGATGGCCATGAAGGCGATGAGGATGCAGGGTGTGACAATGTTGATGATATAGAAGAGTGGCTTGCGCTTGATGATGAGGTAGAAGGTGATATCCTGGTGCTCAGTGCTCTCGGGAGGGTTGTGAGGGTGGATGTTCTTGCGAGCCGGGCGGTGGATGATTTCCCATTCCCCGTTCTCTGACAGGGCACATGGGACAACACATGGCATCAGGAACCCTGGCCAGGCCAGGCCCATCCTCACCAGCCCGACCAGCATCAATTTCCCTGGTGCAGGTGTGGGTAGCTCCGAGCCTGGTGGGATGGGTGCCAGGGTGCTGAAGCCCTGGGTACTCAAAGGTCTCCATGGCAGGATATCCCAATGCCAGGGTGACCCCAAGCCTCATACAAGGTGTCCCACTGCCACACAACGCAGTAGAGAACACAAATGTTACCTGTGAAGCCTTCAGGGTCAATGATGATCCACTCTACTGGGTAACTCTTGCCTGTATCTGGGTCAGTCTCCGTCTTCAGGTGCATGCTGATCTCCAGGGCATTGTATGTCAAGGAGCTGACCAGTGGCCAGAGTGGGGGGACAGGCAGTGAGGGGCTGCACTGCTGCTTGGCACCCAACAGCCACCCACCCTCACCTCCAGCATGATGGACTCAGGCCACCGAATCACCTGCAAACCCCCACCTTGCTGCACCCCAACTGCAAGGGAAGGCCCTGGCAGCTGCAGGCACTGCAAGAGGCCGTGCTGGCCCCCCTGCTGCCCGTCTCTGCCCCCTGGCACCTGAATTTGAGGGTGCAGTTCTGCCAGTCAAAGGGGAAGAAGTCGACGTTGATGAGACAGGCGCTGCGGAAGATGGCTGGCGGGCGCCAGTAGACGTCACCTGTGCTGTAGATGAGGACATTGCAGTAGTAGGCGATCTCGAAGAGCCCATCGTTGCTGTGCCAGAGAGGGACAAGGTGATCATGGGACCAGCAAGGAGCAGGGAAGCCCTGGTCAGGTACAGGGCACAGCTTGGGGGTTCAGGAGGGGAAACTGGGGCACAACTCACTTGTTTTCCAGGACTATCTCGGGCAGCCACAGCATGTCTGCCTGCAGGCGGAGCACCTCGATGTCCCCGAACTCGGACTTGTTCCACTGCAGGCGGTAATCGGTCCAGCCCTGGAGAGCGAGATCCCCAGAGTGACATCCTTTCACCACACTGGGTCACCCCATTTACCGTACCTCTGGCACACTGTCACACCATGATGCCTGTCACTACTCACATGCTCGAGCCATACGTTGGTGGTGAGTGTCTCGTCCACCTCTTTCTGCAATGACAGTGTGGCACAGTGAGATGCCAGGGCTGTGCCCAGCAGCCATCCCCCCCAGCTCTCACCAGTGAGGGTTCAGGGGAGCTGCTTCAGGGTTCCCTCTACCCTGCTAGCCCTGGGGGTGAGGCATGGCTGGGGGGCACCCCACAGTAGGTACTGCCTGCTGGGACTCACCAGCGAGATGAGGTTGGAGAGGGTGAGAGCCAGGTAGACGTCCACGACCTGGTCAGTGGTGATGACGGGGCGCACCTCCTTGTCATAGCCCTTCTCCTCAAAGAGATAGTGGATGAGCCGCTCCTCCTGGTTCATGCAGAGCCCTCCTGGGGGGGTGGGGTCAGGCAAACTGGGGGGGGCTGGAGGGGTTCCTATGCCCAGTGTCACCCCTCAGGGATACTCAGCAAGGGCAGAGTGGTGTAAGGATGGAGGGGACAGGAGTAGGCCAGGACACTGCCTGTCTGTGCTGCACAGGGGCATGGACACAGGACATGTGGGAATGATGGACATGCAGAGGCACACAAAGGCATGGGACAAGGACATGGGCATGGAGACAGAGGGACACACAGATACAGACCCAGCAAATACAGGGGTACACAGACATGAGAGGCTTGGGGACAGGCACAGTGGCACAGCACACATGGGTAGATGCACACACAGAGGCATACGCGGACATGAATCCAGTATATGTAGGGACATGTGGCTGTGGACGCAGTGTCACTGTGCGCGCACACAGGGACACACAGACACAGTGGCAGCGTACACACACAGAGACACACACGGCCCAGGCAGGGACATGGCTATGGGTGGCACAGCCAGGACAGAAGCACAGAGGATGCTCAGTGATGGGACTCTGCCAGGCCATACCCCAAAACTCAGCCCTGGGTCCACCTGTGCCCAGCTTGGGCTCTGCCAGCACCACTCCCCTCACAACAACCCCATTGAGGGGGCCCAAAATCCCCCAGCGACAGTACAACCCTGTGCCCAAGACCCTGTGCCCCCACTCACCTGACAACACCAGGGCCCCGAGCAGGGTCAGCCACCCCGGCAGGTCTGCCATGCAGCGTCCTTGCACCGTGCCAGCCTCTGGCTCTCTCCCCGCCTGGCCTGGCCCAGCGGATGTCCGGCTGCCGGCCGGAGCAGGAGATGGATGGTGCCAGGTGTCGGGGGGAAGGGAACCGGATACCTGCTCCCACCCCCCTCTTCTGG